CACAGAGAGGATTCCAGCCTTAGCAACAGACCACATTGAAACCGGCTCCTCCACTGAACTCTAGGACTTTGTGTTAGGCCCTGTTTTCCAACCCTACTGCCCACTTCTTGGTAAATTGTCCTTTGTAAGGGGTACTCTGCTTAACCCAGAAACTGTGAATTTCAAGTCTTGGGAGTTTTAATTTCTGTCCCTACTAAAAAGCTCTGGGCTGCTATGCAAATTGATGCCACCCCCTCTCTAGGGCTCCTCATACCAGGGAATCTCTAGGAGATGCTCAGTTTTTATCAAGGATGTCGTCAAACTATTTAAATTGTGCATTTATAGGATAGTCAGGTGTGGCCTGAGGAAAGATAGGAGAGGCTTGTAGAAGAAAGTTTATTATACTCACAGTTCCTAAAGAGGGGGTCATCACATGCCATGCAGGGTCACTGGCGAACACATGGGAGTAGTCAGGAGGCAGAGCACTGAGATTGGGGAGAGCTTGGGCCATGGCCTTTATTGAAGTTTCTGAGGCAGGGCAGGTTAAACAGTTGAGGAGTGCCAGTTAAATAATTTTTTTTTCCTATTTTTTTTTTTTTTTTTTTTTAGATAGGGTCTCTCTGTTGCCCAGGCTGGAGTACAGTGGTGCCATCATGGCTCATTGCAGCCTTGACTTCCTGGGCTCAAGTGATTCTCCTGTCTCAGCCTCCCAAGTAGCTGGGATTATAGGCGCCTGCCATCACACCTGGCTAATTTGTTTGTTTTTTGAGACCACGTTTCACCAGGTTGCCCAGGCTGAAATTTTGGTAGGCTCTAAATTAGATGGGTGGCCCCTAGTTGCCTGGTAGCAGGGCCTGGGATGATTAAGGCAAAGCAATATTCTCTTCTGGAGTATAAGGGCCAGATAGAGCTAGATGGCTGTAGATTGGTTAGTTTGTGCATCAAAGACATGCTCCTGGCTGAGCCCTTTGCTGTCTCTAAGAATTGGCTAGCCCTGATAGGGGCAGTCTCTCCCCAGCTAGAAAGATTTTTCAAAATGTTAAAACAGGCCAAGTGCGATGGCTCATGCCTGTAATCCTAACACTTTGGGAGGCTGGGACAGGTGAATTACCTGAGGTCAGGAGTTTGAGACCAGCCCAGTCAACACGGTGAAACCCCATCTCTACTAAAAATGCAAAAAATTAGCTGGACATTGTGGTGGGTGCCTGTAATTCCAGCTACTTGGGGGACTGAGGCAGGAGAATTGCTTGAACACAGGAGGCAGAGGTTGCAGTGAGCTGAGATGGTGCCATTGCACTCCAGCCTGGGCAAGAAGAGTGAAACTCCACCTCAAAAAAAAAAAACAAAACTGTTAAAACAGCATAACACACAGAAAATTTAAAATGTGCACAATGAATCAAGTAACATAGCCTTCCTTTCCCTAGGACAAAAGTATGCCTTTATATTTGCATATGAAAATTATGCCATTTAAGTAATTTTGCAGAATGCAGAAAATCTACTCCTAGATGACTTTATCTTTGCTTATTCAGGGAAGCAGCTTCTGTGATTTTAAAAAGTAAAAGAAAAAAAGCTCTTGGCCGGGTGCGGTGGCTCAAGCCTGTAATCCCAGCACTTTGGGAGGCCGAGGCGGGTGGATCACGAGGTCAAGAGATCGAGACCATCATGGTCAAAACGGTGAAACCCCGTCTCTACTAAAAAATACAAAAAATCAGCGGGGCATGGTGGCACGTGCCTGTAATCCCAGCTACTTAGGAGGCTGAGGCAGGAGAATTGCCTGAACCCAGGAGGCGGAGGTTGC